GGATGTAGAAATTATTGAAAATTAGATATTTTGGTATGGTATGTCGTCAATTTTAAGTTTCTATATCTATCTTTTGTCCAATAAATGCTTTAACTAGGGAAACCATTATTATTCTAATTATAGAATAATTGTCATAAAACTTAAGTAGGTTTTCATAAGAATTTGTCTTTTGTTCTTAGGAATCAGATTCTTTATTAATGTGGTACATTTCAGAACACGCAACATGATTTTAAGCTATCTCTAAGCATGTAATTAATTGATCAATTGATTCTGAAGTTGATACTATAACACTGTATCAGTTGACACAATAGAACTTTTCAATGAACATAATATATCATGTCAAAAATCATAATGAAATTATCATCTGCATTGTGAGAGGAGATAGCAGGCTGACATAACTTATCTCATGGTCATTTTATGGAGATTTAGGAGCATCTTGTCAATCTCATTTACCTCTTTTTTGTTTCTTGAGATGGATTTTGCATCTAAACTCACCTCTTAAAGTCATACCACATGGGGCTGGCAACTCTTTTTTGTTTTAGCAGACATCTCTACAAATGAAGCGACTTACTTGTGGTTTGACGCAAAAAATAAGGATGATCATAAGGTACTTACCATATTAATTATAACTTACAAGTCATATGGAGCATATGCTTATATGGTAAAAAATATTTTTTAGAATACAAAAATAGTAGAAAGAAGTAAGAAAAAAAAAAGGAAAGAGATATTGACCCTTAGATTATGCATTGGCACGAGCTACATGGACTAAATCACCCTTAATTAGGTGATTTGCATCTTGTCCACAAAGTATATGAGATCTACCCACCAATCTTTCAATTATTTGAACTTGTTCACTAATCATAAAATGCCAAGAACCAAACTGACACCAAATAGTCCACTTCTTTGTTCTAAAAGTACAATTTATTAGTTAAAATGTAGAGTTAGCAAAAAAGCTCTATAGAACATTGCATAAAAAATTAATTAGCTGAGAGAACTACTCTTCTCTCTAAATAATATATATTTCTATATAATATAACATATGTGGTCGGTCAATTAGTATTCTCATTCCTTTTTCTATATACATACTTTATAAAAAAGAAATTAAGACACCTAAAGATATGCCAAATATATTAAAAAAAAAACACTCTCCTTTTCAACATACATGCACCAAGGTACACTAATATCATTTTTTAAATAAATTTTATATCTCCATTATCGATGACAATTAAGTCTAAAAAACTAGTATTGTAACTAAGACTTTAAACTTGAATCCGAAGATAGTGGTATTAATTTTATGTAGTGATACTATCTTAATTTGTTAGTAACTTTTAATAATTATAAATCGGAAAGCTTTTTAGGATATGATAATTTTTTTATGGTATTTAGCAATGTATAGAAATTTGAAACTAAATCATAATGTACAAAATATTGAAATAACTTTGATAATATTAGGTGATAGTGACTAGTACTCGTTGAGTCGGTCGTGGGCTTTGATCATGGTGAACATTAGTGTCGACGTCATGTTTCCATATGACCACAATATTCTGCACCGTGGTTTGCAGAGGAACGACAGCTTGGTATCGACATTTTGAGAATATTTGGATGCACCTAATGCTATAGAACCGAAATCTTATGTCTCTTTATTGCAAAACGAGTGGCCATCCTTGAGTTATCAACTTACGAAGAATTGGTCAAACAGATCATAAAAGAAAAGATCTGAGGCTCACATTTAAGTCTACACCATCACAGGGAGCGAGTTCTCCTTTTCATGGTAGGGGGGACATGCAAAGAAGGCTTACAACCATCCAACCACCACCACAGCATCAATAGTAGAAAAAGATGAGATGAGATATTTTAATTGTAGGAAAACTAATCATGTTTTCTCGAGTTGCTCGACGGGACGAATACGCTTCCATTGTCAGCATTCTGATCACAATCTGAAAGACTACCCATAGAGATCTCACATCAGTAATAGCTTGAAGGATAACGACCAAAACAAGATTGAGCTTTTGCTCTGACTCGTCACGATGCTCAAACTTTAGGAACAATTATGCAATGTATAATAGTAATTCGACACACTTTTCTATTCCACCATACTTTGCATTTAAGTTGCACAAAGTTTTTCTATATCTCGCGTTTTGAGCACATAACAAATATTTTGCCTATACCATTTACTATAAAAATAAATACATAACATGAACACAACAATTGATTTCAGATAAATGTTTACAAGACGTGTTTATATTGCTTTCTAACATGAAAAAAAATAATTGTTTTGATACATGAGTTATACTATTTTGAATAGGGTTATATTGCTTTCTAATAAAGGACCAGAAATAATGTTAACCCTGTAAAAAAAAAAAATCAGTGTAACTCAAGTTTTTTTAAAAAATCATCAAGATTTCTGGGAGGATATCAATGCAAAGTACAATTATTTGACCCAAAAATAAAAAAAATAATCATCAAGGTTTTTGAAGGGAAAAAGAGTAAACAAAGCATTATTTGACCCAAAAATAAAAAAAAAAACAATTTCAACCTTACGTGGGATCAAATAACTGTCAATTCACATTTTAAATAAATAAAAAAGAAAAAATTGATCAAAATTCACTTAATTGATTCTCAAAGTTTAAGGGTGTTTGGAGGGTGAGCTAGTAAAAAAAAAAAGAGGCTTGATTTACTCTAATTTTAAATAGGATTTTATTGATTTTTAAACAGAGGATCAAAATCAGCATAACCATGTGGAAAATCAGTGTAGTTGAGACCCTATTTAAAATAAAAAAAAATCATCTAGCGTCATAGGAAAACATTGTCAAAGTAAAATGAAGAGAAAAATAGTTTACTAATAATTTACTAATATCAGTCTTAAATTGAATTAAATAATTGTAAATTCCTAATTTAAATGAACAAAAAAATAAAAAAAAGTGGTCAAAATTCACTTTATTTTGACTCATTCTAAAAAAAAAAAGAATCTATTTACTTTGAACTGATTTTTTTTCGCTTAAACAGGGTCAATATCAAAGGTATTTTCATATTTTATAAAAGAATAGATAATATATGGGAAAAGACAAATATGATGCACTTGGTATGAGATAATGAAAAATAATTTTTTTAAGAGAAATAATCTAATAATTTATATTAGAAAAATTATATTTATGCCTCTGAAGTTGTAATTTACATGAAAATCGTTTTATTACATCCTAAAAAGTTATTCATTCAGAGTGTACCATATATTTTAGTGGATATTTATTTTATTTTCGACTCTGCACCTACGCCAAATAGTAAGACACATTAAATTATCATAACATACATCAAATAGATAATTTTCTATAAGTTGAGTTTAATTTCAGTAAATAAAACTAATTATTGTGTCTACGATCGGAAAACGACTCTTATAGATAAAACTTGTTACCATATCATGCATCTGATTCTTGATAGTGAGATGGCTAAAGTGGACAGAAGAAAATTCGATGGAATTGCTTTCTCATCCTCAAAAGTCCTACAACCGGTCGAAGTCACGCTCCCAGAAAACGAAAGCGGTGGAAAATTGGTTCCAATATTTGATGCTGCACCCCTCCTCATGTGCGTAGCACGTGCAGACTCCAATAATTGATGCCGCCAACCGCCCTTTCGAAGGCTTCTTCTCGAGGAGAAGTCGTTGCAGCTGAAAATATCCATCTACTCTGAGAATCCTGTAACCTTTGTGCTTGGAGAAAGAAGGATCAGCCCTGCACTGCGATGTCGTCGTGGATATTAGCAGGCTTGGGATCTCTCGGACAGGCGTTAATCGGGAGAGTGAAGGATCAGATCAGCGACTATTTGATCGGAAGGGTTTTGGAGGAGCCCGGAGTTGCTGACCTCGACAAGCTGAGGAATACTCTTTCGGGGACTGAGCGCATCATCGGCAGAGTCGAGAACATGTGGATTAAAGATGAAGACACGAAAAAGCGATTGAAGGAATTGCTGATGAAACTGAAGGACACTGTTTATGACGCTGACGACTTGCTTGATGAGATCCAGTTCCGGGTTCTGAAGCAACAGATCGAGCAACAAGGAGCTCAGGGGTATGAGGCAAGTAACCAATCATCTTCTTCTTCTGGTCTCCCTCCGAGGATAAAAAGAAAAAATTCTGAACGTGTCAGTCGCTTCTTCGGTAGAGAAGATGATGTGATTAGAGTGAGGAAAATTAAGATGAAGTTAGATAAATATATTACTGACATCGAGCATTTCATTGCTAAATTAGATGCTGCTGAGAAACAGATGATAACGTCAGTAGTGCCTCGAACCACCACTTCCTTTCCGATAGAAACTCAAGTATTCGGACGAGACGAACAGCTGAATCAACTTCTGGGACTGTTGGTGCAATCTGCCGACGGATCCGGATCTAGCTACAGTAGCATCTCTACCTTAACTATTGTTGGGATCGGAGGGGTCGGAAAGACTACTCTTGCTCAGCAAGCCTACAACCACGAGAGGGTGAAGGACTATTTTCATCATACGGTCTGGGTCTGTGTATCCGACAACTTCAACGTGGAGAGGCTTACCAAAGAGATCATAGAATCCTTAACCCGGAATAAGTGCGATCTCAACAACTTTGATACACTTCAAGTGGTTGTTAAGGAGGATTTGACCTCAAAAAGGTTCCTGCTTGTCCTCGACGATGTGTGGAACGAGGACAGCCTGAAATGGGAAAGATTTTGTGCACCATTGAGGTCCGGAGTACCAGGAAGCAAGATTTTGGTTACAACTCGCTCTAGAAAGATTGCAGAAATGGTTGGCAATCCGATCCCTCTATATGGTCTGGATAACGCCAGCTACTGGGAATTTTTCAAGACATGTGCATTTGGTTCCGAATACGCCGGTGAATGTCCACAGCTAGAAGACATAGCAAAGAAGATCGCTTACAGGTTGAATGGGTTACCACTTGCGGCAAGGACGGTAGGCGGGTTGTTGAAGTCGCAGATGAATGAGGAGCACTGGAGAATCATCGCAGGGAGTGAAATATGGCAACTACCGCAAAGCGAAGAGGGTGTCCTGCCAGTCCTACAATTGAGTTATCAATGTCTTCCCACACACCTTAAGCGGTGCTTTGTTTTTTGTTCCCTGTTCCCCAAAGATCATCCGTTTGATGGAGAACACTTGGTCCGGCTTTGGATGGCAGAAGGCTACGTTGCTCAAGACAATATGAAAGACAATATGACGGTGGAGGCTGTAGGAAGTGGCTACTTCCGTGAGTTAGTGAACAGGTCTTTCTTTCAGGTAGCTCCGTGGGGATCACAATATGTGATGCATGACCTCATACATGATCTTGCTCAATTTATTTCAGAGGGAGAGTTTTGCAGGATCGATGATGTTAAGTCAAAAGAGATCCCTAACACAATTCGTCATCTATCAACAAAATTAACCGAAGAAACTAAGTTAATAGAGTTCTCTTGTTATGAGAAATTACGAACTCTCATGATCAATTATGAAAGTCACTGGTATGGCTTTGGAGTCGATGGCTCTTTGTTCCTCCGGTTTGAAAGATTAAAAAACATTCGAGTGTTGATATTACGTTTCTTTGGCTTGCGGGAGTTGCCTGAGACAATTGGTGACTTGATACACCTCAGCTACCTTGACATATCCCACAACTATCAGATTTGGAGACTGCCAGAGTCACTATGTGGTCTTTACAATTTGCGAGTACTGGATCTGTCTGAATGTGAACTACAGAGTTTACCGCATGGCATGAGCAAGTTGATCAACTTGATGCATCTTGATGCAGCAGACAAAATAATTTCTGAGATAAATGATGTTGGGAAGCTGACTTCTCTTCAAGGATTGTGTTCATTTAAAGTACTCAAGGATCAGGGACACGAGGTTGCCCAATTAGGCGGTCTGAAACAACTTCGACAACTTCGAATTACCAACCTCGAGAACGTTAAGAGTAAACAAGAAGCAGGCATGGCTAATCTGAACAACAAACAGTACCTTGATGAACTAGTCTTAGAATGGACATCAGATGATGGCTCCAGTTTGGACGGCAATGAATTAGTTGTGTCGGAGGAGGTACTTGAAGGTCTCCAACCACATCAGGCTCTCAAACGTTTGACGATCAGAGGGTACATTGGTGTCAGATCACCCAGTTGGCTGCAGACACAATTGTTAGCGAACCTGATAACTCTTGATCTTTACAACTGCAAAGCATGGGAGGATATTTCATGCATTGGACAGCTACCGAATCTCAAGAAACTTTACGTGAAGGGAATGCCTGCAGTGAAACAAATAAGTCATGGATTAAGTACAGAGAGCAAGTTCTTGCCTAACCTGGAAGAGCTAGTGCTGGAGAACATGGTGGCATTGGAGGAACTCCCGAGTCTTGGACAACTGCCGTGTCTTAAGGTTCTTCGCACCGATCAAATGTCAACAATGACGAAGGTGGGCCACGGGTTCTTTGGTTATAGAGATCAAGGCAAGTGTTTTCCTTGCTTGGAGGAGCTCAGGTTCAGCAGCATGCCAGAATGGGAAGAGTGGTCTTTGGCTGATGGCCAACAGCTATTTCCCTGCTTGCGAAAACTTGAAATTGAAAGATGCCCGAGGCTTAAGAGGATGCCTCCCCTCCCTCCTTCAATTGAATCACTATCATTATGTCAAGTCGGGTTGACAGAAATCCAAATATTATGGGAAGGAATCGATGAAAGTAGCAGCAGTATGACCGTTTCAGAATTGAAAATATATAGTCTTAAAGAGGTCAAGCTGAA